CTGTGTCCTGTAAACACCTTTCAGGTGACTTTAAGTTTGAGAAACAGCTAAATGTGTTAAACCTAATTTTATAAAAGGACTTTTGACAAAAATAAGTTATTTTGTATTATTTACTAATGGATCATGTCAAAAACTGATATGACAATTAGGGATGAAACTTCAGGCTGATATCGATTTTGTTGTTATGGATAATATTGATATTTACCAATATTATATATATTATATATATGCTATATATATTTCTTTACCGTTTCAACACCTTTAGAAAGAAGTGACCAGAAACAGACAGCAACAAGATGAAAATAAAAATACTTTTTTCTGTCTATATTTGATATGAAAGGTCTGGAACATGTACAATAACGTAATCTAAATGCACAAAAGCCTTCGGGGCAAAATGACTGTAAACCTGTCAGGAGAGCAGTCTGAACATCTACAACTTTTTCCACATTTTGTCTCATTGCAGTTTTATTTGTTGGACTGATACTGATATGTTAAAAAATAACTAAAATCAGTCGATACCGATGTTAGTGCTGATATATCGTGCATCCCTAATTGAAATTAGATTTGTTTACTCAGAGAAGTTGGTTTATCTTAGACCAGACAAACACATTTTGTCTTAATTTTGACAAAATTTTAACGTAACTTTTAAAACTCCATTATTTTTTACATATTTGTTGAAACTCACCATGTCATGACAGCTTGGTATGAGACAGATCTGTAAAGTTCCTTTGCCTTCTCCCAGTCCTATCTAGAAACAACCAATCAAGGCCAGGAGGCGGGTCTTAGTGCTGTCAATCACCCCCTTTCTTTCTGCTACTCTGCAGATAGCATAGCCTGTTGTGAACGCTAAGGCTAGTTGACAGCGGATGAATGGCTTATAGATATTTACACTATCTACCAAAAATCTGTGCTGAGATTTTGTGTTTTTGCAGTGTCCTGCTGGTTTCACCTCTGTTAAGGAATCAACAGAGTGAATGTGTTAAAGTTGGTGACGTTTTGAACCCATCAGCAATGAACTCTGGCTACATGACATGAAACAGCGCTTACTTTGAAAAGGTCACCTCTTTGCGGCGAGGAACCGATTTCTGATTCGTTTAGGTTTAATAAATCCTAAAGAGTGAGCGGCCTTTGTGGCATCTCAAAAATGAGAGTGAGGCGAAGGTTTGTGGCGGTAAGTAATCTGACCTGAAAGCAGCTAAAAGCCATTTTACACACGAAACAAAGAAACGCAGCGGCGGCAGCTTCTTGGTAGTTTTTTTCTTTGCTTATTCTTCAGAGGGAGGCTGACAACCTGAAACGACAGACTTTATACGCAGTAACTCAAGTTGGTGTACAGTAGGATATAGATTGAAGTGAGAAAAATCAATAGAATATCATCTAGAAAGATAGTAATGGATTTCTAACTTAATGGGCTCACACAGGTCTATCGATTAGCAGGATGAAAATCTGCAATATCTCAACAATCTGATTTGCATTTAAATTACAGTAGGCGCTGTGCTGACACCGATATAACAACACAGACAAACGTATAGCTGGGCGAGCGGCGCTCCATCATCACGTCTGACTGCGGGCTAAATCCGCTTTTCGAAAAGTGAAGGAAAAGTTGCTCTGCTGAGAGATAACCAACTTCTAAATTCTGCTGGTCGGGACAAGGACAGAAAAATGTCACCTATGAGTCTGAGGCGGCCATAACTCTGGCTGGGCAGCTCATCGTGAGGCGGCTGTTTGTGGAGAAACACTGTGGATGTCTCTGTGTATGTGTATATTTGTACTGAGTGGGTGGGTGGGAGTGGAGGCGACGTGAGATGAGATGTTGAGAGGGGAGGGGAGTTTGATGGACTGCACTGTCACCTCCCGGCCGGCGATTTACAGCGGCGCGGCTGCTGACGAGCGCGGGGCAGTAAACAGGCCGGCCAGGGGCGTATTTCACAGCGAGCTGGCTTTTATGAAGAACACCGGGATGGCTCTGCCCACGGCTCCGCCCGCACCGCCGTGACGGATGGAGAAAGACGCATGACAAGCTTCATCATTGTTTGTAAATCTTAACTGTTCCCGCTCACTAACTCCAGAAGGCAATTTTGCGGAGACAGCGAGAGGGGGGGGACGAAGAGCGAGGAGGAGGAGGAAGGGGTAAGGAGGGGAGGGGAAAGGACAGCGTGGCACTCTTGAAGGTTATTTGGATCTCTGTATTTGGCCAAATGATTAGCCTTATCCTGGGAGGGAGATAAATCTGCCAGGCGCCGTTTGGCAGCCGTGTGGGAAGGGAGGGAAGGAAGATCACAGGAACCGTTTCCTCCGTCTGATCCCGACCAAAACATCGCTTTACTTCACCTCAACGTCCAGCCGCTTTCTGTAACAACACCTGCTTCTCCATCACAAATGTTTCCAAATATTTGTCGCTATTCTGCTAATGTCAAAAAAACACAATTTTGCAGTTGCCATGAATAAGAAATTAAATTAAACTCACGTTAATGAGTCACTAAAAATGAGCACACAAGCAACAGCGATGGCCAACAAACCCGCTTCTCTCGACCCACTCGGTTTTAATTTATGGGTCTAAAAATGATCTGATGGACGCTGGAAAAGATTATTGTTGTTTTCATGTTGTGCTAAAAGGAGTTACACTATCAGCGAAGCTACTCAAGGCTAAAAGAGCATCTCTATGCTAAACATGCACAGAGGCTAACGCTAAGATCAGCGTCTACAGTCCACTTTTCTAAAGAAACACCGGAAAACTGAAGGGCTAGAATAACACTTCATATTAATCTGATGGCTGAATAACAGATTAAAAACAATAAATATATTTGCTTTTGAGCTCATGTCTGTTTATCCAATAATTTAGCAGCAAAAGAGTTTTTTTCATTCGTCAGTAAATAGTTTTCTAAAAAATGATTAATTAATTACAATTAACTCATTTAGTCGACCCTCACCATTATTGTGTATACTTAAATATCTTTTATTGTGCATGTAGCTCTGACAGATTAGAATCTCAGTAACTTGTGTTACTTTTGTTTTTACTTCGAGATATTAAATAAAACAGATGAATATAATTAGACCTGATGTGAAGGCGTGACATGGCATTGAAACAGATCCCAGGGGTCCGTGTGCTGGACGCACATTTCAGAATCCTGCACACTGCAAACTATGTTTGTTAGGCTAAGAGGCCGCTCTTTCTGTTAGCTACAGTCCTGCAGTATTAAAGATGATGGTCAGATCTGCTAATAAACAACCTGCTTTGTAAAAATCTGAATTTAAGATCCAGCTTTGAACCTGCAGACCTCTAATAGGCTATGGAAATGAACACTGCCTCTTTCTCTTTTTTTAAAAAAGGTGAATTGACACTAAAAGTGGGACCACCGGCTGAGATTGTTTTCTTGTAATGGAGCATGGCGGTTCAGGGTGGAGCTGACGTGGGACCCTCACAGCAGAAGGACAGCTGAAGGTGGTAAACAAACAGCGCTACAAGGCCAGATGTGGAGGTCCTAAGCTTTACGATGCTGGTGGTGCCATCGCTCCCTTTCAGGAAAAACACGGCTGATGCTGTGATTCTGACGCTCTTTCTCTGTGTCCTTCTCGTGAGAAATTAGATATTACTACGAGAAAAACACAGGTACAGAAAAACTGGGTTCCTAGCATAAACATGTCCCACCAAATGCCAAAAGTGCATCAGCTCACAGAGAACAATATCAAATTAGGCTGATGAAGCCATGATAAATCAATAACACATATTGCAAATGAAAGGGACTTCCGAGGAATTTGAAATCAAAAATCGATCCTTCGCTGTATATCGTCACTCTGATACTTCATGCTGTCATTTCTGGGTTTGGGTTCTGCTCATCAACCTTCCTTTTCTTCAAACCCACAGGCCGGGATGTTTGACAGAAACACGAATAAAACATAATTACTTATCAGAAATACTTTCCAGATCTAGTTTCCTTAACAAACTGAACCCTGACAACGGACTTTTTCTTTTTGCATCAGCTTAGACTGAAAGTGAGTGAGAATATCCTCCATGCTGGAAATGTGAAGGCAGGGCACAATTAAACGATGTGCCATCCTCAGTAAAACAGATATTAAAGTAGTTCATGTCTGCCTTAGCTAACACACAAAAATAGTTTGACAGTAAATACTACAGCAAATATCACTGATATGAATCTAAGTACTGTAAAGTACTCAAAAATTTTAATCAAGTAATAGCTTTAATAACTTATATTATTTATAAGTTATTAAAGCAAGTCGCCTTAAAAGGATTATTTCACAACAACACTTTTGAAACCATCTTAAAATGTAAAGAGCAAGAAGATTTGCTGAAGAAAAATAATTGAAATGGCCAGAAACAGATTTTCCATCCTGGACAAATTGGTCCCTGTGATCTCAGTTTTTGCTGCCACTTTGCTTTCCATCAGTAATCTCACTCTTATTACGTACTTATCTGCATTCTTTAGATATTTCCAAAAAACACTTTACTGAAGATGATAAGCAACGCACATAATCTGATTCCCCCACATTCCCTGGTAATAAGGAAGGCATAAACTCCCGGCAACCAGAAACGCTGCGCTGAGATTCTCATCTGGAAAGAAATCTACTGCTGCACAAATCAGAGATTACATCTGCTTCATCTGTAAACACGGCGAAAAGAAACAAAGCTGCACTGTTTGGGACTTCTTGCACAGGTCTACACAGTTTATACTCTATTCCCCTTTCTAATTCCCAATAATTCACCTGAATCATATTTTAATACATTCTCTGTTGTATTTTAAACATCAGAAAAGCATTAAGCTGATTAAAGCCATAAAGCAAAGCCTTAAAATTCACTGATAAGAGCCTGCATACACGGAAAGTACTGGATTTGCAGTAAAGTTTAGTGCAAGTGAAAATGAAATTTTATGACACTCTCGACTTGAATGCAGTCCTCCCTTGGATGTTCTGTTGATAAAGTCTGGGTAAAAGTTTATGGGGCCTTATGAGTGTGTGTGTTGGAGTGTTTCTGTGTTGCTCACAGCCTGCCATGGTCTCAGAGCAGCTGTTGTTCTCCTCCAGGCTGACAAAGGGCGGCACACAGGTGGTGGAGCCCAGGCCCTGGGTCAGGTAGGTGGCCCCGGGGTAATAGGAGTGCATCCGGTACTGGGAGGACACGCCGTGGCTTGGGAGGCGGCTGTCCCCATGGGGCATCTGCTTTAAACAAAAGAACAACAAAAATGTCACATTTATATGTACATTACACAGTAATTAGAAGTACACTGTAAAACTGGCCAAAATGTTCACCTTGGCCTGACCTGTGACTCACAATCTGTTTGCAGTTGGTGAACACAGCTTATATAAGAACTAGCAACCCACACTCTTCAGTGTCGGTGTTGCTACCGCAGGAAAACAACTCAAAGTTAGCTATTTTCACAATAAGAAAAGTGTAAAACTAAAGATTTTTAAAGGAAACTAGTTTCTGCCAAAGCATGTCAGTCAGGCTGTTACAGTAAATAATGGTCATTTTAGTCCTTCATCATTTAAACTTTTGGTTGAATTGTCCCACCCTTTAGGTACAAACTAAACATATTCATGTTTAACTTGTAATTTTAATTGCATTTCTTATTAAAATAGAAAAAATGCAATTGCAAACTTGTGTCTTTTCAACATTAGAATATCAAAAAAGGTGTGCGCACATTTGTGCCTTAGCAAGCTAATGGAAACATATACGGTATATGTTTATATGTCTGAATGCTTGAGGTATATGATATACACTAAAGGTGCATGAACACAAGTAGGGGTTCTTCTATTTGTTTATGAAAATAAATCAACCTTTTTAAACAAAGTGCAGTCATACTGATTTTGAGGTTGAGGCATGTCGGTCTTTCTTGAATTTTAGACTCCTGGCCTTTATTCGTTCAGCAAACAAGAAAAAATGTACCAATAAAGAAAATCAGCTTATCTTAACTTTTTAGGAGTTTGTCTGAGGTAACATTTACATTTTTAATAAAACGATGATCAATTCTTTCTCATTTCAATTCTCACAGAGAACAGCTTGTTCTCTGTCAGTCCGACGCCCGTGCAAAGGCGCAGATTAACTGCAACAAAAATGTTACAAAAGCACAGAGAGAGCAAACAAAATCGGTGCACAAACGTTTTAATGTAAATACTGTAGCAAACGCCTGCACAGGCCCATTCCTTTCTTCAAAAGCAGTTGCAGTTTAAACATAGATAACACACATTTCAAAAACAACTTACATGCAAGAATGTCACACTGTATTCATATATAACTGTGATAATTGTTGCTACCACTATATGACCTGATTCAGTTCCAGACATTCACAAGCAAAGCATTAGGAACAAACAGGAAATCATCATTAGCTGCAGGAACGAGCTGCAACGCCCGGCGGCTTTCTCCAGACCTCTGAAAACTTTCAGACGAGCTGTCTACTCAGCAGCAAGGCCGCCTCACTGAGGGTTTTCAATTTCATTTTTATGGAATTTGATTTCTGTCAGCCTGTAATATGTCACCCGTATTGTCCACACCATCAGCTCTGCGACAGCTTTATAAACTGTTATTTAAGCTACACTCCACTCTTGTATTGGGCTGTGAAAAACAGAGATTGGAATGGAGTCTTCAAAGTGCACCGAGCTTATGGCTCCCAGCACACATATAGCACAGGACTAAACTGTCTTAGCAAAAGTTGCTCACAAAAGGCTTTTTTTCTGGTTAACATGGATGGTAAAACATCCAGATCCAGTGTGTGGATTTGGCCTAAATGAAGGATTCAGTGTCCCATGTAGAGTTCGGCATATCGATGCTGATGTATTGTTTGCTGCCTCTTGGCCAGGACTTCCTTGAAAAAAAGGTTTTTAGTCTCAATGATTTTTTTATCCTGGAAAAATAAAGGTTAAATTAAAAAAAATTAACTGAGTATAAATCTATTTTTTTAAAACATATAAACTGTATAAATTGGTTCTTAAGCTTGCCATCTTTATGCTTCTGTGTAAACTGTGCACAGAAGCAGTTTTCTGTCACTCTGCACTGTGTCAAACGGACCAAAGCCTTTCAGCAACCTATTCCCCTCCTTGCCTGTGGGGGCGCTGCAACAAGAAGGGAACAACATGAAAACCTCTGAAGACACTGAATGCACCTTCCCTCTTCACAAAATGTAGCAGCGCATTTGTTTTGGTGATATTTACCCAGAATGCCCTGCGCTTCCTGCTTTTGGAGTGGTCTCCAGTCCCTTTGATGTTAATAAATGTATTCAAACCTCAACAGAGTTCACTGATCCGAACCAGACCGAGGTTTGTAGGCAAACCAGAGTGCATGTTGTGCGTATTGCAGGATTTATTTTTTGTCTTTAGTTAAAGACCACAAGCCATTTTACCCGTTAGAGCATTTAAGCTACTCATACATTTGTTTTGGTGTATTTACCCAGAATGCCCTGTGCTTGTAGTTTGCTTCCTGCTTTTGGAACGGTTTCTGGTCCGCTTAGCGTTCACATATGTATTCAAACCGAACCCGTGATCACATAAACCGAACCGAGCCTGAGGTTTCTAGGCAGACCAGAGTTCACTTCTGTTGGTCCACATCAAAGTCTGAATTTGGATTCACACATTCAAAAACAAACCAGTGTGAATGGGCCTTAGAACACCAACAGTTTTGAGTTGAGAGTAATTTTGTTACGTACTCTGTGTAAGTACAAGAAGATCTACTGTTTTGTATTTTTGCATTTAACTAATAATCTATAACAGGAAGAGAAGTGCACTGCAGCTTCCTAATAATGAAAGTTTCCACACATCTACAGCAGTGCTTATAAGCTGACTTGTTGAGTCTCGGGGGGCTTATTACCGCCCTGACAGTGCCTATCTTCTTATCTGGCACCATCTTCTGTCTGGAAGCTCTTTGCCACCCTTATTTTATCACCATCCACCTGCATGGCAGCCAAGCACCGAGAGCAGAACAGAGGAGGGAGATGGCCTTTCGCTGATAACAACCGCAATGTTTCCTCTGGGGCTGCACGTTGGAAAGGGATTAGCTGGGACCTCAAGTTCACTTACTAAAGATTACTTACATGGATCTTATTTCACAGCCCAACACAAAGTAGGGCAAAACTGTGAAGCAGAAGGTAAATGATACCTGGTTTTATAAAATTTTGAGAAACAAAACACTGAAAACCGTAATGGGGTTTCGTGGTCACCAGTCACAAGAAAAGCTACCAAGATTTGTGATGGGAATGATGTGCTTGTACAGGAACTCAAGAAGAATCCTGTCAGCTCCAGGAAACGGCCATGTCCTGTATAAATGTATGTTGTTATTGATTAGAAATAGCAACAAAATATAATCTGCATACTTCAAACTCCAAAATTAGGTTAATTCATGAGGTAAATTATGGCTAATGTATCTAATATGCATCATACCTAAATTTATATGTGTGCATATGCTATATTCAAATTAATCTGCACCTAATTTAGTATCTATTTGACAGCAAAAACAATTAATTTATATATAACTGTAAATACATTCTGCTGTAGGGGTCAAAGGGCATGAACATGAATGCAGTTTGCTACATTAATATTTTTTTGTAATTCATCCTTCACTTTACAATGTGCAACTTTGTGTTAGTCTGTTTAAAAAGTAATTAATTTCACCAGATATAGCTTAAATAAATTTCCAAAAATACAGGTGGTATGAGTATCTTTACAGTGCACAATGAAGTCAGAACATAACAGTAAAGCAAAATAATAAGATCTGTTCAGGATACATATCCTGAACAGATCAAATGTTCACTTTTATTGGATAGTAAAAGAATAAAAATGACAACAGAAACTGACCTAATCTTTGACTAGTAAGAGAAGATATGAAACTGTGTTGTAGGAAGTAATTTTCCTGAAAATGTAAAAGATAAATTCTTACCCGGGTATCTCAAGGATGACGCTTGAAGTTTAATAAAACTGAAATATGGTCAAATAAATAAGACTATTTTTAAGCAAAAAACAATAAAAGTAAAAAAAAATTTCATCTTTCTCCTTCCCACTGTGTGTTTGTGGCATTAATAGAATCCACAAATAATAAACTCTGGAATTACAAAAAGAGTGGCCAGTAAATTTAGAGAATCGCATCACGTAACCCCTTCAACCCGACAGCCTGCCAAAAAAAAATCATAAATCACAAAGGAGGATGGCTAAATTATGCTAAAGAGCGCTAACTGATTAGCATTAATGTGCTCACTTTCTTCCTCAAGCGCTGAAGCATGGCGGTTTGTTCTTCTGCCGACAGACAATACCATTAACCTTTGCAATTTAGCCTCTGCAGGGTGGCAGAGGCAGTGACCCCAAAACTAGATGTTGCTACTGGGGGAAACCGGAGGGAGGCAGAGAGAGGTGGGAAAAATGATCTTCATAAAAAAACCAAACCACATCGTCAGGGATCAGGGGAGAGTTATAGTTATAATCTGCTTCATGCATAATCTCATTTCCTTTGGACACAACAGAGATACATTCCAGTATAAATCAGTGCATGTACACACAGCTGGAGGAGGGACCAAACGCAGGCCGCCAGACAAAACTAACAACTGAGTTTAACTGCATTTTGAAGCCGTTACTATTTGTACTAACCGTTTACTCAGTACCTACCTTTCAAAAGTGTAATGTTTTAAATTATGGAAGTATATTCTGAGTAAATTAAAAATGAACGGCCTTTATTGTCGGACACAATAAAGGCCGACAATAAATAAGGTCAGCAGTGTTGAATATTTCAAATGTAGCTGCAACCACTTGGTTCACCAATAAAACCAGAAATAAAAATGTAAAAAAAAAAATTCAAATATTTAATTGTGTTAACCATAACGAGCACCTTTAGAGGCACAAAAGGGGACATTAATGTCAATTCTACTTTCTAAGGACAAACGCAGGGAAACAGTGGCACATTTATGTTACTCTATATAACGTTTTATTTCCGGTTACATTATCACAGTGTGCTGTGTGGAAGAATGCTGCTTGATTTGACAGATAATGACAGCAAAGTAACCAATATAACTGTTACTTTATTCTTTTATTCTTAGTAAGGAATAAAATAATATTTATTCTTTATTAAGAATAGATATTCTTAATTACAATTTGTTTTTGCTGTTGTTATAAATCTTGTTTAAGAATATAATAATCTTCTAGTAATGTAATGTTGAGGCCATACTGCCCACTATTAGAATAAAATAACATTTGGTCCAACTAAGCTGAAAACAGTCAGGGATTCATAGACTGATTATTTAAATGAACTGATCATAACAAACTAAACCCCAGCTTTTTTTAAATTGGTTTACAGCCTTGTAAACATTTCTCCACCCAAACCTGAGTTACTGTGAGCTTTAATGATGAAATTATAAAAATCAGAACATTAACATCCCCTTGAGCCAAAAAAAACGAGCTCAGTCTGCTTTGACCTTTTACTCCTCTGTTCTTTAACAAGCGTCTGCAAAGCTTTTTCCCATTAGCCCCATCATGTCCTGTTTTAGGGTGTTTTCACACCTGATAGTCACTCCTTCAATTGGGGACAAAATTACAACATTTGTTACATTTTCAGCTGCTGTGGTTCTCTTTCACACTGCAGTGTCAGATGATCCAAACCCTGTTCCCTTTTTCGCCTGTGGGGGCGCTGCACCAAGAACCACTAAAGGAAACAACACAAAAACCACTGAAGAAGACACTGAATGCAACTTCCTTCTTCACAAAATGTAAACAAAAATGGAGTGGTGCCAGATTTTAGCGGTCAGAGGATTTCTCTTTGGTGTTCTGCTGCTAGCACTAAACTAGCATGTTGGTTTTGGTTGTTTTTACCCAGAATGCCCTGCACTGTAGTCCACTTCCTGATTTTGGCTCTGTCTACGGTCCGCTTGGTCTTCACATATGCATTAGAACTGAACCAGAACTTTTATAATCCACATCAGAATTCGATTATGCATTCACAACTCCACTAGCAAACTGGACTTTCTAAACAAATGAACCGGAGTTTGACTAGTCAGGACTGGTGGGAGCGATCGGGTCTGCAGACCATCATGACCCAAACTGTTGTACAGATGACTTCATTAACCTCATATGAATATCTACGTCTTCTCCAAATGGTTTCTTCTGTTTGACTGAACTATATTTACTTCTTTGTTCTTCTTCTATCTGTTGCAATTTAAAGTTGTTTTACTTTAGATGTCTGGATGTAGATCATTTTTAATATAAGTTTTCAAAGACAGCCTACAAATGAAGTTTAACTTAAGAAAACAACATACAAAGTTCTCATACAAATATTTTCTTTTTTAATAGGCTGCAATGAAACTTCAGGGACTCTGAGCTCATTTTAAGTCAATAATTCCTTAATTTTGATGGAAAAGTTCTAGTTGCATTGTCAGATTATTTCACTTGAAACATGACATGTTTCTCATGTTGTGTGTTACCTGGTACTGTGGGTAGTTGTACAGATTGGTGTAGTAGGGGGGGTAGCGTGACTGCTGGTAGAAGTTGTAATAGGAGGTTTCCAGCAACAGGTCAGAAGTTCCCTCAGAGTGAGGCCTAACAGAGGAAGAGGAGGGACTGGAGGACGATGAAGAGCGACTTCCTGGAAGAAGAAATAAAGGAGTAAGACTAAGATTGTCTCAAATAAACTATTGTCCGTGGCCTTTAATCTGTAATCTGTATTTCTATCATGTAAATTAAAGATTTTTTTTTTTGTAATTCAAATTTGATTGATTTTCTGAATATTGTCTCACATAAAACACAAACACAAAACAAAAAAAGGCTGGTGCACCCCCCCCCATCCACCTCAATACCCAGGGTACAGTCATATATCTTATGTATGTTACAGTGTTAATTAAAAAACATTGAAGATTTTTTTTTTTTACATTCTTTGACATAATTATTTTCCAGCTTCAGTTAAAAAACACTCAGAGGTTATTACTTCAGCTCCACCTGAATATTTGAAATGTTTGCTGTAGTATTAGTTTTCCTGAGTGTCTTTTTCAAACCAAGATTAAACAGCGCCATCTGCTGGTGCTGGTAACAGTTATATTTACTTTAAGAATATCATCTGAAAGTTTAACTAGTGGAGGAATTTAGCTAGAAAACTCATATAGATTTATTACACATAGTGAAAATTTATGTCAAGCATTTGTTTCTGTTCATTTTGGTGATTTAAACTGATGCATAAGCTTTGAAAAAACAAAATTTAAATAAGATCATCAAAATACACAAGACCAATAAAAATAAATAAAAATATTTTTTACTGAAGAAATGTTGGAGAACCCAGATTAAAAAAACACAAATAAAAAAAAAAATCAACCAATATAGCTGGTTTTCAATGAAGCCTTTAGAGATAAAAATGTTTTCAGATTTGCTTTTGTTTTTGCAAGGTTTTATTAAATAGTAATATTAAATATAATATAAAATTAGTTTGCATTTTGCACAAAAAACATATACGCACATGTTCTAGACATCTTGCTCAGGAAATTATATGAATATTTCTAATCCAGTAGCTTTCTAAGAATGAACAATGGGCTTTAATCTTTAAGCTATGTAATAAAAACAGAAGAAAAGTCAGTATTTGTTCATGTTTTTGTTTGAAATAGATATAATATTACAGGGATCTTACACGGTTAAAGTTTGTGTATGTATGGACATGTTGGAAGTTAAATAAAAAATGTTTTGTGAAACTAATTTAGTTGTATCTCAAATAGCATACAAGGGAATAATGATCTTCAACAGATCAGTGTTAATAGTGGATATTTTAGTAAATAAAAACAAGATATATTTAACAGAAGTTCAGTATTTTTCCACCTAGCTGTGTGGAAGTCTGGCAGATCTATTCATGAAAAAATAGATTTTTTTTTTCTGTTTCAAACATCAAAACAATCTTTTTCCAAAGAGTCATGGTCATTTTTATCACTATGAGTAATAAAGGTGACTGAACTATGTTTTTTTGCACGTTGGGCTTAACACAAGGAATGGAGCACCGAATCCTGCAATTGTTCCTGTAATCTCAGCAACTTTCTCTACTAAACATTTCTTTCTTCCACTCAACTTTCCTTTAATTTGTATTAGGAAGCCAGAAATTAAACTTTGGGTGCTTATTTACAATAAATTTTAATCATCCAAAGTAGAAATGAACTGCATCACTGAATGACTAGAATGACTGAACTTTTCAGTGACATTCAGATCGAGATGGACCTGTGTGATGGATAATTCTTCCAGGATAAAAAGTTCAAGATAATTACTGGCTATCTGCTGTGCTTTCCTTATCAGCAAGGCCACATTCCTCTCAGGCAGACCACGATCTTTTGGTTTTGCACAATGAAGACACTGTGCATCCCTGAATCCTCAGATATTAAGTCTTTTGTCCCCGCTCCGAAGCCAATCTTGTCATCACCGTATCAATGAGTGCTTCACTCCTTTTTCCAGCACAGCCCGCTCTCACTGTTCTGAGGACAAAGTTGACTTTTTTTCACACAGCAAAGCAGGGAGAAACGGAGCGTAAGCAGCCTTGACCTTCATCACATGACAGGTCCATATCATACTTTCCCTGCTAACAAGCCTCCTACTAGGATAAAGTCAACAATGGAAAAACTGTTTACTGCTGCAAGCCAGGAGCCAGAGCAGAACTGAGTCAGCAGGTGCCTCAGAGATTAGAAGCTTTCTGACCGACATGCATGTAATTATAGCTGAAATAACACTATTTAGCTTGCCAGGATTTTATCTAAGACAAACACCAACTTGGTACTAATTTTGAAACATTTTCTCCCAAAAATGTTGACTTGTTTTCTTTTTAAAGACTAAAGGAGGGAAACATACAAATGATAATGATAGCAGCTTTATATAGCCTAACCTGAAAGAAGCAAACACATTTAATAAGTTTGCATCGCAATGACTAACAATATGGTGATTTATGCACATATTAGGTCTTGATGATTTGGCTGAAAATTGCATCATGATATAAACGTTTCATATCAGTCAATATCAACAATTATTGATTATTTTTTTCTTTTAAATATCTGAA